TGGGGTCGCTATGAGTCGGTTCCGACTTGATGGCACCTGACAACAACAACAACAACAATGGTCATATCAACTTTCAGTACTTGTTGTTGTTGTTAAGTACTGTCAAGTTCTGACTCATAGTGACCATGTATAGGGGTTTCCAAGAAGCAACTGGTGAGCTTGAATCACCGACCTTGTGGTTCAAAATACCCTTGTAGTTCAGCGCATTAACCCGCAGTGTCATGCCAGGACTCTATTATTATGGTTGTGTATATGCTATTTGGACTTCTGGTTTGGTGCAGCCAGTTAATGCAGCAAACTGCAAAGTCAGTTTGGGCCTTAAAGGACGGCAGTTCCAACTCACCAGCTGCTCCTTGGAAACAGGAGTCTGTATAAGGTAGCTATGAGTTGGATCCCGACTCTACGGCACTTAGCAACAACAATATGCTATTTACCACTAAGCCATTTAAGGTATACCACAATGACGTTTTCCCTCCACAGCTTTTTTATTTCACTGGTGCTAACTACCTTGTTTTATCATTTGTTTAGTTATATTTGTGGTACTTATTCATTGTGGTGGTGGTTTTTAGGTGCTGCCAAGTCGGTACTGACTCACAGTGACCCTGTGCACAACAAAATGAAACACTTCCCCGGGTCCTCCACCATCCTAACAATGTCATTACATGTGAGCCCATTGCTGCTGCCACTGTGCCAATCCATCTCATTGGGGGTCTTCCCCAATTGTGTACAGCTCCTCCAAATAGTTTTCAAACAAAGAAAGTATTGTAGCAGAGTCATCTTCTTGAATAAATCTTTCTTGGTGTCTTCTAGCCAACTTTAAGCTGCTTTCTGTGCCTGGTGCATAGCTGCTTACGTGAGATCTTTCTTTACCATTACTTTAAGGTTTCCCATTGACTGCCTCTGTGTTGAATTCTCTGTTTCCTTGATCCACATTTTCCCCTCTCTAGCTTTGTTCCTTTATCCTGGTGGAGCATATCTTTTAACGGCTTCCTGAGAGTGCAGATAAGGTAGTACATTCTTTTTTTAAACAATACATGCTTGAAAATGTTTTATTTTTTCTGATACGCTTTCTTGATAGTTTAGGTGTAGAATTCTAGGCACAGAAATACTTTCCTTCAGAAGTCATTTTCCCACTGATTTCTAGTTTCTAAAGTTAATAATAAATTCAATGACACCTTTATACCTTATCCTTTTTATGACTTTTTTTGTTGTTGCTTGCTTTATTTATTTATTTGAATGTTTTTATTGTGAATTGAGTGAAAGTTTACAGGGCAGATCAGATTTACACCTTGTTTCATTATAATGATTATGATACCCTCCATGTACCATCAGTTAACAGTATTTCTCTCTATTCATTTTAGCTCCTTTTTTTTTTTTTAATCACTCAGGCATATATAATAATTTACACCACCAAAGGCACATCCTGAAAGTCTGCCTCCTGGTTGCCAAATCTCAGTCCCTCTCTTTCCATGGATCTAGAGTCCTCAGCTGCTCCCCCTCTCCGTGTCCCCATCTCTGCCTCCATCTCTGGTGTCACTGCTTCTCTGGATAAGGTCCTGCATTCCATTTGTGCTCTTCTCCCTTAATGGTCCTACAGTCCTCTGTTTCTGGACTGTTGAGATTAACTACTCCCCCATTTTTATGACATCTTCTTTTGACCTCTCTAAAAGCCCATTGGATTTTCTTTTTGTCCCATGTTCTGAAATTCACTGGTGATATATAATTCAACCCATTTCTACAAACACATATTGAGAACATGCTCTACATAACCCATCTCACTAAATACTTCAGGAGACAAAAAGTCCTAAACCAAACCAAACCTGTTGAAATCATGTTAATTTGGACTCACAGTGACCCTTAAAGAACTTGAAATCAATAAGGATTGTGGGAGATATGGCAAAAAGATTACTGATGAGTATACAGTACTACATATATAAATTATATATTACAAAAAGATGTTATTTGTGTTTTATTAACTATGCAAAGTTTTTTATATTGTGTGACAAATTATGTATATCATTAGGAAGAATGGGTATTCCAGAACACTTAATTGTCTTATTAGGAACACTTACATAGACCAAGAGATAATCATTAGAACAGAACAAGGGGATACTGAAAGGTTTCAGATAAAGAAGTGTGGACATCAGGGTTAAATTGCTTCACCATACTTAGGCAGTCTGAACAAATATTAGGAGAAACTGGATTACATGAAAAAGAACATGGCATCAGAATTGGAGGAAGGCTCATTAATAGCCTGCAATATACAGATGACACAACCTTGCTTGCAAGAAATGGTGAGGACTTGGAACACTTGGTGAGGAAGATCAAAGACTTTGGTATGTATCACACAACTTGAATGTAAAAAAAAAAAAATCCTCACAACTGGACCAATGAACAACATCATGAAAAATGGAGAAAAGATTGAAGTTATCAAGGATTTAATTTCACTTTGGCCCACAATCAACACTCATGGAAGCAGCAGTCAAGAAATCGAAATTCATATTGCATTGGAGAAATCCGCTGCAAAAGATGGCTTTAAAGTGTTCAAGAGCAAAGATGTCACTTTGCGGACTAAGGGGTGCAAGCCATGGTATTTTCAATTGCCTCATATGCCTGTGAAAGATGGACAATGAGTAAGACCAAAGAAGAATTGATGCTTTTAAATTACGGAGTTGGTTAAGAATACTGAAAGTACCATGGATTGCCAGAAGAACAAACACATTTAGTTTGGAAGAAGTATAGCCTGAATGCTTCTTAGAAATGAGGGTGGCAAAACGTCATCTCACATTGGACATTTGATCAGGAAGGTCCCTGCAAAGGAACATCATGCTTGGTTAAGTAGAGGGTCTGAGAAAAAGAGGAAAACCCCCAACAAGATACATTGACACAGTGGCTGCAACAGTGAGTTCAAGCAGAGTAATTGTGAGGGTGTCACACTCCCAGGCAGTGTTTCCTTCTGTTGTACGTGGGGCCACTATGAGTTGAAGCCAACTCAACAGCACCTAACAACAACAACCTGCTACAATAGCCAACACTCATGAAATGTTTACTATTGTCTGGGATGTTCCAAGTGCTTTCATTCTATTAGCTTCTTGTTAATATAATGTTAATTATAATTCTAGTATATATAGTTACATTGTTGTTTGTTTTTATGTGCCGTGGAGTCGGTTCCGACTCATAGCGACCCTGTACAGGGTTTCTGAGACTGTAAATCTTTACGGGAGCAGAAAGCCTCATCTTTCTCCAGCAGAACAGCTGGTAGATTTGAACTGCGAACCTTGTGGTTTGCAGCCCGATTCGTAACCACAGAGCTCTTTATGTAGTTACATTATGTGTACTATAATTATCTTTTCTATTAACTCTGGTAGCGTAGTGGTTACGAATCGGGCTGCGAACCTTAAGGCCAACAGTTCGAAACTACCAGCCGCTCCGCAGGAGAAAGATGAGGCGTTCTGCTCCTGTAAAGATTTACAGCCTGGGAAACCCTGTACAGGGTCGCTATGGGTCGGAACCGACTCGACGGCACTTAACAACAACAACATTAACTCATTCAAGCCTCAAAACAACACTGTGAGGTATGTACTAGAATTTCATCATCCCCATTTTACAGATGAAGAAACTTAGGTACAGAAAGGTTGACCACTTGGATCAACATATCACACAGGTTTGAATCCAGGGAGAATTTGGGCTCTTAACCTTCATCCTTCAGAATCCTGGTGTGACGCTGTGAGTTAATGCGCTGATCTGCAAAGTCAGTTTGAACTGCAAGGTCGGTGGTTCAAGATCACCAACTGCTCCTCGGAAACCCTATACAGAGTCGTTATGGATTAAAACAACAGCAACCTCCATCCGGCTCCATGGCTGAAGTGGACCTGGCTTTCAGCGCTAAATTGAGATTTTACGATCTGGCTGGACTGGGTCCGGCAGGTGGCAGTCGAGTGCTCCGTGGGTTCAATGACCACCACGTCGAGCCTGCACTAGTCGTTGACATTTCACCGTACTCCGCCTTCAGCTTCTCGGAACCCTCTCGCCCCTCTGGCCCTCGCCTCTGAGGCTGCCCGGCGGTCCGTCAGGAAATACTAGCTCTATCTAACCGTTGGGTACAAATCTGAGTTCTCTCCAAAGACCACCATATCCGCAAGGAAGGAGCAAAGAGAGTATCTGCAACTCCCCTTTGTCCCGAGAGCGCGGCCAGGCTGGGAAATCCACAAATCTGTTTCTACTAAAGTTCAGCAAAACGTTGGGAGCCCCGCCAAGAAAGAGAAAGTCGTGAATGAATCCCTCTTGGGACCTAGGGACACTTTGGGGAAGCTCAGCAGTGCATGCGCTCAGGGGATGTGGATGGGAGCCAAGGAGACTTTTCTTGGGGCAAGGTGATCTCAGAAGGGCGGAGAGTATCTTCTTGAAGGGTGCCCTGGGAGAGGGGCAAATGAGCTTGAGGGGGCAGTGCAGGGGTGGGGGTAAGCGGGCGGTTTCCATGGTGCCCAGGACGTGGGGGGAAATGCGTTTCACAGGCTGTGGCGAAACAACTGCGTCGCCAGCTCCCGGGCTCGAGAAGGCGGGAGGGAATGAGGAGTGGGGGCAGCCGGGGGAGGGCGGGGGCGGGGCGGTCACGTGCGCCCGAGGGGGCGAGGCCCCAGCCGGCCAGGGAGCTATCGGAGCCGGCGAAGTGGCTGCACTAGGAGCGAACTTCTTTCAGGACAGAGGGGACTAAGCCTAGCGGGATCGCCTTGAAGGGACCCAAGGCAGAGGCAACCAGGGCGGAGCTGAGGCGTCTGCGGCCGACCGGCGGACAGCAACAATCGCGGTCGGGGGAAGGAGCCCCAAGGAAAGGTGGGAGCAGGAGGTTGGGGGTGAGCTCAGGAAGTCACACTCGCAGCAGGAATAAATGTCCCGAAAGCTCTAGGGCACCAGCCGAAGCTACTGTCCCCTAATATTGCCGGAGCCCTCAGCACCTGTTTGAGGTTCCTGGCCTGAAGACTCCAGAGACAGCTGTGGTCATGGTGAATGAAGACCTTAAGCAGGAGGAGGGCGATGGCATTCACGCAGACCCCAGCGACTTGGGCGATCCCAGCACGTCTGTTCAACCCAGCACCTCGGGCCACCCCAGTATCTCCACTCACCCTAGCGTTTCAGCCCATCCCAGTGTCGCCATTCACCCCAGCGTCTCAGTCCACCCCAGCGTCTCGGCCTATCCCAGTGCCTTGGCCCGTCCCAGTGTCTTGTCCCATCCCAGTAGCTCTGGCCCTGAAGACCTCAGCGTGATTAAGGTGAGCAAGCGTCGTTGGGCCGTGGTCTTGGTGTTCAGCTGCTACTCTATGTGCAACGCCTTCCAATGGATCCAGTATGGCTCCATCAATAACATCTTCATGAACTTCTACGGAGTCAGTGCCTTTGCCATCGACTGGCTATCCATGTGCTACATGCTGACCTATATCCCCTTGCTTCTGCCTGTGGCCTGGCTGCTGGAGAAATTTGGCCTTCGTACCATAGCCCTCACAGGCTCCGCTCTCAACTGCTTGGGCGCCTGGGTGAAGTTGGGCAGCCTGCAGCCGCATCTCTTCCCGGTGACCGTGCTAGGCCAAGTCATCTGCTCCGTGGCCCAGGTCTTCATCCTGGGCATGCCCTCCCGGCTGGCTTCGGTCTGGTTTGGGGCTAATGAGGTTTCAACAGCCTGCTCATTGGCCGTCTTTGGCAATCAGGTGAGTAAAGTTGTTTGTGATGGGTCAGAGGTGGGGGCCTCATCTCCTTGTGTGACTGTGTAAGTCTGCATCTGTCTAGCTGTGGGGGGCGGGGGGGTGAGTATTCTGACTCTTCAAATGTGTCTGTGACTCTGGTTGACTTTGTGACTGGGATGACAGTGTGGTTGGGTGATTGTGACTGGGTATTTAGCTAGGAGAAGTGCAGGAAACAAAAGGAGGAGGACCTTTTGCCCACTTTTTTCTTCCCTCAACTGAAAGTGGGCTTCTAGAATATATCCTGATTTGATGACCTCATTCCTGAACCTGTAGCTCACCAGCATAGACCCGTGTCTACCTGGGTGACAGACACAGTAGGACTATTATGGTGTTATCTGCACTTGACAGGTGTTTTGAGCCTAGCTGGCTTTCCTAGAGAGCATTCTTCTGTCAGTTGCAGAATTGCAGAGCTGTGTCCTGCTGGTCATGGGTTGACACGGTTCTTACCTTCTTTTACACATAACTGAAAGCTGAACAGTGAGGACCATGCTTGTTGTCAGTCTCCTTCCCAGGAGTCTAAAGTCACATTCAGTAGGATGGAGTAGAAATCTCACTCTGAATTTCCAATGCCTAGAAAAGTATCTGCTTGAAGTAACTTCGAGCGTAACCTCATCTCTTCCCTTACATTTAGAAACCAAAGCCAAAACCCACTGCCACTGAGTTGACTGTGTCTCCTTGTTGTTGGTAGAGGCCATCAAGTCGGTTCTGATGCATAGTGTGACCCTATGCAGAACACGAAACACTGCTCAATCTTGCACCAGCTTCACAATGGTTGTTATGTGATCCCATTGTTGCTGCAACTGTGTCAACCCATCTTGTGATGGTGGGGAGGGGTCTTTCTATTCTGACTTGCTGTTGTTAAGTGCTGTTGAGTCAGTTCTGACCCACAGCAACCCCGTATAGAGTTTCCAAAGAGCAGCTGATGAGTTTAAACTGCCGACCTTTCAGTTCAAACCAATTTTGCAATCCAGTGCATTAACCCACAGCGCCACACTAGGACTTCTGACTTGTAGTGACCCTTTATCAGGTTTCTGAAGCAGCAAATCTTTTTTTTTTTTTTTTTTAAGTTTTAATTGTGAATTATATGCTAGTTTGCGTGGGAGAACACCTGTTTTACATTCATCCTATCATATTTCGTTTAATTGCAATGATTACATTCCCTCCATGCATCATCATAGAATCAAAGGGTACACACCAAAAGCCTGCCCGCATCCCCCCACCTCCCACACCCCCCACACCCCACACACACACCAGCACACAGCCCGGCTCTCTCCCTGAGTCCAGAGTCCCCAGCCACTCCCTCTCTGCCTCCATCTCCGGCATCACTGCTTCTCTTGGTAGGGTCATGCATTCTGCTTCTCTCCCTTTATGGTCCCAGGGATCTCTGCTGCTCGACTGCAAATTCAACCACTCCCCTCCTTTTGTTACAAAACGCCTACCTTTATATTTTCAACCCTCACAGTCAGTCCTGATAGCAGTTATTCACTATTGTACCACAAGAGTCTTATCCCCATCTCCTTTCATCAGCCTCTCCCAGACAGGTTGGAAACCACTCAGTGGAGATTCTACCTTTCCCCTCACTCTCTGGAACTAGGCTTCCTCTTTAAAGCTTGTAAGCCAGTCACTTTTTGCCTTTGTAGCCCCCCCTTTTGGGTAGCCAATGTCTAAGTTGCCCATCTTTATCACCCTGCATACCAAGGGGGTGGGAATGATCCTCGCTGTAAAGATTTGTTCCCTCTTTTAAGCTAATACATCCATAAGTATAGGTCAAGTTCATCAAGTTGTAGCAGATTACTCTTTTTTTTTTTTCTCCTTGTTATTACATCTTCTTCTTCTAATTGAGTTCTGATCATCTAGCCATTGAAGCCAGGTCAAGTGGGTACTATCTGCAAGTATGAGTATGTTTGTTCATCTCCCCTCACTTCATATCAGCTGAACACTTCACTCTCTGCTCTAGTCCTCTGTGGCCATGGCACTGTCTCTGGGCCCAGGAGTCCCCAGGTTTTGCTATACTGCTGGCCATCCAGGTTTCAACCTGGGTTCACAGGAGTCTATTGAATGTGGTCAGACTTACCTCACGACTTCACTGCTGTTTCCCCCCCCCCTCTCTCTTATCAGTGACCAAATGTGGTCACCAGCCAGACCACATGCCTGCCCATGTATTCCCCTTAAGTCTTAGACTTGGAAGGGAGTTTGTCCTGAGGGTAGCTGACCACTTGCCTTGATGGCTCCTGGGTGAACAATTTGCTTGTTCTTGTAGTAGTAATCAGTTGGACTGCGGTTAATGTTTTTTATTTTTCCTGCTGGTCTTTCTTTCAAGAAATATCTTCTGTTCTTCTAGCTGCTCCAGGCTGGTCTGGTTGTCCTTTCAAGTGGAAATTTCCCACCTCAGATGATTCTGGATGGGATCAGGATTCCACCTATGGTTTTATGCAATGCAAAGACTCTGCAGGAAGCCTCCTTCGCTGGGCAAGTTCTAGTCCCATTTTAGTTATTCCAATCAGTTATAGGCTGAAGACAAACTTACAAGCTTTCTATGGTAATGTTTCTGGATATTCCTTTCTCTCCCTCTCAAGTGTCTATTTTACAATGATAGGCAAGGGAAATCAAGATTCAAAAAACAGCCAAGCATCGTAACATTATTTCCCTTCTTTTATCCATTCAAACCATCTCAATCCTTGTAGCCCAGAGCCCTCTTGTTCCAAGGTTATCACACATCACTATTTACCTCTGCCCCACTTAGTCCATGCAAACCTGCCTAATTGTTCTCACATTCGCCTTGTTCTTCCATTCCCCTCCCCCTTCTTGTGTATTGTCTCCCCCCACACCCAGCACCCAAGCTATCCTGTGTCTATTCCCTACCCTGTGCTCCACCTTCCCCTCCCTCCCCTCAACCCACCTCATATATCCTGGTAACCAGCAAAGAATTTTTTTTTCCCCCCTATTAGTGTGGGTTCTTTTTCTTAATCTTTTACAATAATGATCCTATGCAGTATTTCTCCTTTTGTGACTGACTAATGTCACTCAGCATAATTTCCTCAAGGTTCATCCATGTTATGCGGTGGCTTGCAGCTTCCTTGTTATTCTTCAAGGTAGCGTAACATTCCATTGTGTGTATGTACCACAGTTTATTTATCCATTCTTCCATTGATGGGCACTTGGACTGTCTCCTTCTTTTTGCTCTTATAAATAGTGCTGCTATGAACATTGGTGTGCATATATCTACTCGTGTTATGGCTCGTATTTCTTGTGGGTAAATACCAAGTAGAGGAATTGCTGGATCATAAGATATTTCTACTTCCAACCTTCTGAGGAAGTGCCATATTGCTCTCCACAGTGGTTAGACCATTTTGCAATCCCACCAGCAATGTAGGAGCATCCCAGTCTCTCTGCATCCTCGGCAGCATTTACTGTCCTCTACTTTTTTGATCATTGCTGTAATTGCTGGTGTGAGATGATATCTCATTTTTGTTTTGATTTGCATCTCTCTAATGGCTAGTGATCGTGAACATTTCTTCATATATTTCTTGGCTGCCCAGATCTCCTCTTTGGTGAGGTGTCTGTTAATGTCCCGTGCCCATTTTTAAATTGGGTTATTTGCTTTTTCTTGTAGAAGTGTTGTAGTTTCCTGTATATTTTAGAAATCAGTCACTTGTCTGATGTGTCGCTGCAAAAGATTTTTTCCCATTTTGTGGGCTCCCTTTTTACTCTTTTGGTGAAGTCTTTTGATGCACATAAGTTTTTAATTTTTAGGATGTCCCAATCATCTGCTTTGTCTACTTGTGTTTGTGTAATTTTCAAAATGTTTGGTAGTCTGTGTATGCACTGAATTAGAGCCCTCACATTTGTCTCTATTTTTTCATTGATTGTCTTTAAAATTCTGGCATTCACATTTGGGTCTTTAGTCCATGCTGAGTTGGTTTTTATATAAGGCTTGAGGTAAAGGTCTTGTTTCAGCCTTTTGCATATCACTTTCCTGTTCTGCCAGCACCATTTGTTGAAAAGACTGTCTCCTCTTCATACAATATACTTAGGCACTTTGTCGAAAATCAGTTGACTGTATGTGGATGGGTTAGTGTCTTGATTCTCAATTCTGTTCCATTGATCAATATATCTTTCAGTGTACCAGTACCAAGCTGTTTTGACCACTGTAGCCATGTAGTAAATTTTGAAATCAAGGAGTGAGAGGTTTCCAACCTCATTCTTCTTAAGCAGTGCTTTTCTTATCCTGGGTCTCTTTCCTTTCCATATAAAGTTTGTAATTGTTTTTTCCATCACTTTGAAGAATGTCGTTGGAATCTGGATTGGGATTGCTTTATATGTGTAAATTGCTTTGGGCAGTATTGACATTTTCACAATGTTAAGTCTTCCTATCCAGGAGCATGCATATTTTTCTGCTTTTGTAAGTCTCTTGGTTTCTTATAGTAGTGTTTTGTAGTTTTCTTTGTAAAGGTCCTTTGTTTCTCTGGTTACATTTATTCCTAGATA